GATTGCCACAACTGGCATATTTTTACAGCCTTTGTGTAAACACAAGCTCCAAATTAGCCAGCATTTCAGCTAGCTCTATCTGGCTTCCCTTCTTTTGAAAAAAAATTAAGGAAAACACCCACCAGAAAAGGTCAGCGGCCAAACTATTAGGAAAAAATAAAAGCACAGAAGAATGTACACAGTCATTCATTAAACATGTGCTGCTGAAATTCTAACAGTGAGCACAAAACAGACTTTTCACAGAAACTATATTTAATATGCAAAACTGTTGAGCCAAACAGAGCATTAATTAGAATAGTATTTTTTAAGAAATTCTCAGTACTCCCCTAGAGCTGCCCCCACTAATATGCGTGATGTGAACCCCATGGCTTAGAGAGGAGCAAAGCTAAAGCAACTGTAGAGTGCTGCCCTTGAAGGGCAGCGCAACAAAAGCTCTACTTATTTCAAGTGTACACCTATGCAAAACAAGTGGACTGAGCATCTCCGTTTTTTAGATAAACACTCAACCTGGAAAATAAGCATCTCATAAGGTAGGTGCCCAGGTGGGAATTCACCTTACACTGTCACTAGAATACACTGTCACAGATCATCAACCACACCAAATCATCTACAATGAATGAGCAGTATTGTTTTTTACAAAACTAACTCCATTTTGAGCCAAACAATTTGCATTTGACTACAGTAACTTTCCAAGATGCATCCCCGTCCTAATCAGAAAACATCGAGAATTAGAGATTTCATTGCATTCCAGAGTCAATTTTAACAGTGAGGCCAAGTAACCAGGGGAACGTTCTGAACTTTAGGTCTTACTTGTTCCTTCAGTTCCTATTTGTTTAACTAAGGTTACTGGTTCTTGCCACATTTACTGTTGCACTGTCCAGATTTGGCATGTTCTATGTTAAGGAGGTACTTACTGTAAACTGAGTCATATCTTAACCTCTTAAACTAGAGGCAGAATGCAGTACGAAGCATATCTTTCTGCCTTTGAACGGACCTTTGTGGCTCCTCTTTGCGTTCTTTCTGATTTTTGTATTCAAAACACAGTCAGCAGAACTCTTCAGTCCATGAGTCTCCCCAATACTGCATTCAGAAGAAGTCCTTTCCTATTTATTGCTGTACTGTTCATGTACCCAAGGTCCCCCCACACACATATGCTGTGGCCAAGGGTCAAATTGGTTTACCTTAGCTAAACTTCCAAATCCTCTTCACAGAGCCCGTTATTTACTTTTCTATTTATAATTTTGCATTTAGCCATATTAAAACACATTTCATCCAAATGAGGCCAGCTTGTCAAAGCAGCCCTGTAAACTGCCAGCTTGCATGTCATCCACTGAAATTCAACATCTGCTTCCAAACACTGAACTGTGTCCTAGCAGAACACCCACAGAAATATTCCTGTGCTGTGGTAACCAACAACTACTTTAGAAATTACAAGTTAGCCAGTTAATGAACTTATTATGCAGAATCTCAAAATTATTATTGTGTAATGTAATTTCTGTATAATTCTAAAAATCAGTGTCATGTAATAAATAAATCAAGCACCCTGTAAAGAAAATATGGGAACATTAATCTTTCTCTTAAAAAAATGTAATTTTATCAGTGTAAAATCTGTTTTGCTTGGTGTAATCCATTTTCCACAAGTAGTAGTCGTCACCAACTTCAAATATTCCTATCCTTAACTTTATTGTTAACTGTACTTATTCCTAATATTTTTTAAGCTGTTGTTTTTTAATCTAGGACTAAGGTCAGTCAGGGTGAGGGGTTTTGTTTGTTTGTCTGTGACTAACAACTTAAATTAGTCATCTACTCACACTTTCTGAACACTGATAAAGTAACAATCAGTTTTCTGGAATATCCCCTATTATTGCAAATGTTAAGATTTAAATGTCATGAAGCTAGAAATCTCCTCATCCAAGCCCTTCACCATTCCTGGATGAAGTTTACTTAGGGCTGCAGATTTGAGATGTCCACTACCGCATACTGCGTTTAATATCCATTTACAAATGCACTACAAAGTACTTCCATTGTCCTCACCGTGTAACATAAGCTTATATTCTTCCTTTTCCCAGAAGAAAGGGCAACAGCTTTAAGAAATTCTGACAATGTATTTTAACAGCAAGAAAAAGTACAGGCATTCAGCTAGAATATTTTTTAAACAGAACAACGAACATTTTCTGCCCATTAGCTTTTCTACACAAACAGAAAATGTCTCACAAAGCACATCAAGCTCCTCCAGACTCTTAGATTTTAAAAGAAAAGGAAGAAGGTATGGTTTATACTACAGGAATACAAGAAAACAATCTGCACAACTTTGCAAAAGCTGACACTACTTTTGGAAAAATAAGCTCCAAATGCTTCAACATTGTGAACTCTTTGGGGGACAATGAACACAGCACAGATATCCCTGACAAAATAAATTGATTAACTGAAGGGAGATTAGTTTGATGCAAAGGTTTTTGCATTGCTAACTTCTTGGTTTGTTGAGGAGGGTGTAGAGCGTGTTGGTTGTTTTCAAGACATCATTTACCATTACCAATTCTAAAATACAAAGTCTAAAAAAACTGCAGAGATTTAAAACAAGACAAAACAGGAAACAGTTAGGTGCAAAAAAGATCAGTAACTCATGCTCCCACCCCTAAAATGCCCCACAAAACTTTACATTTCCACACACAGGCTGATGCATACTTGCACCATGTCATGATAAAGAACAGGAATGCTGACAGATCTTTAGCTGTCACCGTAGCAGTAACACATTTGCAAAAATATGTGTTGCTTCCTAGAGTCCAATAACAATGAAAATAGCATCCTTAACCACTCAGCACCATTTTCTAAATTGTCTGTCTCATACTCACGGATTATTGCAGTACTTAAAGTAAACTTGAAGGGCAGCCTATTCTTGAACTTCAAAAACTTCAGCTTCCAGAATTGGTACATAAATGAGACAAAAATAATTCAAAGTACACCATAACTTGTC